GAGCCAGGTGGGGAAGCTGAGGTCAGTGGGGGGGCTGAGGTCGGTGAGTTGGGGGGACTGAGGTCAGTGAGTTGGGGGGGACTGAGGTCAGTGAGCTGGGGGGGACTGAGGTCAGTGAGTTGGGGAGGGGGAGCTGAGGTCAGTGAGCCAGAGGTCAGTGAGCTGAGGCGTCCTGAGGTCACATGGCCTCATGGTTTCAGCACTGCACTCATTACTCATCCTAAGCAGGTGAGTAAAACCACAGGGATCAGGGACACAAACAGAAAGGAGTTGGCTTTGTGTTCCTGCGTCTGTCCTTACATCAACTGAGGCTAAGGACAGAGCAAGGCATTTCAAAGGCGAAAAGCTGGGAATGTTGTAATGAAAGGAATTAAGGGAGAAGAGCTAATGCAGGTTCTACCACTAATAGCTCTGGCTTTAAAACAAGTGGTGTGTGTGTGTGTGTGTGTGTGTGTGTGTGTGTGTGTGTGTGTGTTTATGTGTGTATATGTGTGTTTATGTGTGTATGTGTGTGCATCCGTGTGTGCACTCTTGAGTGGAAGTCAAAGAACAGCCCATGGGAGTCAGTTCTTTGGTAAGGACCTTTACCCGCTGAGGCAAAGTGCAAGGCTAGTTCTGGCTTTTGACAAAGTATCAACACCACGAAGTAATTAATGTAAGGAAGCAAAGTCAGATGATGCCAGAGGCCTCCACATTATGATCACCAGTGACAGTAACTGCACCTCGCTTTGTAGAGCAACGAACAGACAGATGCTGGCGTGAGCTGACCTCTAAGAAGCCTGTGACTGTGCAGTTCAACAGGCATGCACCACGGTACTCAAAGACAAATCAATCCTGTCGTTTAAAATTTTGCTTTGAGGACTTTCTGATAACAGGGCACATTGGACGGAGACCGTGTCAGTCATCAGGCCTAAGAAACGGGAAAGGGGTGGGACTCAAGCAGAGGGGCCTCCGTTTAACCCAGAGGCGACCCCACTGTCTGCTTAAGATAGTTACCAGAAACACGCACATGGCCACTTAAAACTCAACAACTACTGTTAAGCAGCAGGCGGTATTTTCTGTAGCGAAGACAGACACTGAAGGAAGTAACGAAAAAGCCATGGACTTGGTTCTCTAAAAGAAAAAGCCACTGGAGGAAGGAAGAAAAAAAAACTGAGAATCAACACTGATAAAAGTCAAGTAGCATGGCTTGTGGTGGCACACGGCTGTGTTCCCAGCACACGGGAGGCTCTGGGGCCAGCCTGCCTCAAAACCTGAACAACAACAACAAAAACCCAAAACAGATCCCACAACAAACACAAAGGGAAGACAGACCATAGAGTTAAGGAAGAGTTAAGAAACAACAGGAGAAAAGCCAAGAGCAAGTGTCTGAGGCCAGGTTCCTGACACACATCTGCTATGGCTTGCACAGATATAAAGACACAACAGAAAACACTGACACCAACGATTGCCACAGCAGGGAGACAAGGAGCGGGACATAAAGGCTGGGTATAAAAGGCAGACGGTTTACCAAAGGCCCCTGAAGTTTTGATCATGAAAATATATGACCTATTTTTAAAGCAAAAGGACTCAAAATACGTATCTGTTTCTTAAATGTACTTATTTGTATCAAACAACTGAAAAACAAGAAGGCCAAACGGAGGAAGTGTTAGCACCAAGTGTCAAAAGCAAGGGAGGGAAGCAAACAGAACCCAGCGTCCAGAGCAATGGGATGCAACGTCACAGTGTCAGAGACCTGCAGCACCCAGAGCTCCTCAATGGTGGTCAGTTATCAACCGAGGCTCGAGGAAAGACAGTCATCTACTAGAGGAAAGAGTTTTTACTACAGGAATTATTTAAGACAATTTCTGAAAAACAGACAGAAGGGAATGCCCGCTCAAAGTCACCTCCTCCCCCACGTTTTCGGTTTGATAGGTGAGCTCCAGGGTGTGCCCTTGTGGGAGGAGCCATGCTGACTTAGCCCGGTTTTGCAAACCGTGGTGGGTGAGAAGGACCAGCCACAGTGACGCAGGAGGACTTGCTGCTAGCAAATGAAAATCCCTCATTTAGAAGTGCTGCATCTCTGGATACAGATTTAGCCAAGTTAGAGGACCGCCTGCCTACCATGCTCAGAGCCTGGGTTCAAGCCCGAAACACCTCACAACAAGTGTCTGCTGGTGCAGCCTGCAGTCCCAGCACTCAATAGGTAGAGGCAGGGTGCTTGTGGTTACATGGTGAGTTCATGTGGGGCCAGGTTGGGCTACCCCATGAGACCCTGTCCCAAGCACAGAGACAAACAGCAGATTATAGGCAGCTGGGTAGAGATAGATAGATAGATAGATAGATAGATAGATAGATAGATAGATAGATAGATAGATAGA